TTGTAAAATGATTATAAAGCAATAAAAAACAAAAAAACAAAAATACACAAATAGTCAAGTAAAAAATGATAAATCTAAAAAAAAGAGTTTTATAATTAAGAGTTAAGAAACCATGTTCACATAAAGAAGTGGATGAGAATTGAACAGAGTTTGCTATAGTGCTGTCATTCAATTCTTTAGACAATTTCTGAGTTATTTTCTTAAACCTCATAATGCTCTATTAACAAAAATTATTATAAGTGATCTCTCAACTGGGGCTCAAGCTGGCAGCATCACCAGCCCACTGGGTACTGAGGGCCGGGGGGTGAACAGGGCGAAGGAGGGATGTAGTACCCTGACTCTTCAGCCCCTGAACAGGGCTTATTTACTCATTTGTACTTTTCCAAATCTGTGTAATAGGAATAATAACATTTAATTTACAGACATGTTGTGAGGATTACAGTATAGTAAATGCTCAGTAAATTGAGAGCTGAGGAGGTTGTGTGTGTGTGTGTGTATGTGTGTGTGAGGGCGGTGGTAATTAGGTTTATATATTTATTTATTTTTAATGGAGGTACTGGGGATTGAACCCAGGACCTCATGCATGCTAGGCGTACCCTCTACCATTGAGCTATACCCTCCATGGTGAATTAAACACTTAGCATTTATTGAATAATTATTATATATCCCAACACTGTACTAAATCCTTTGTATTCATTAGATATTAGATCATTAACTCCTATCTCACCCAAATATTTGGACATTACTGTTATGATTTATTATTTTACATCTGAGAAATTGAGGCTTAAATTACTTGCCTAATAAGATCACCAGTGTTGAAAATAGCAGAACCATCATTGCTACGTAGATTTTTCTGAATTAGAACTTAAGTTCTTAACTGTTTCTCCATGCTGTATATATTGATAGCCTATTTTTTTTCAATATTTGATTTTTTACCTCAAATTTCATTAAAAATAAAGAATTAGAAAGCACTTGATATGCGAATCAATTCATTTCCTAAAGACTTTATCAAAATTTATGAAATGACCAATTTATAAATTAAATGAGAGGGATTAGGAAAATGGAAAGAGTGCTAATTTAAATAAATATTTACTAATACTGCATCCAGATTGAGCTCAATTTATAGGAAATAACTACCACATAACCTAGCTGACAAAGTCAGATCTGATTGTCATTCTGGGCATATTTCTGACCTCCTTTCTGTCAGAAAATCTGACTTCATTTTTCCCTTCAAACAGATGTGATTATGACCATTCCTATGACACTTCTGAATTGTGAAGTAGGTGGGCAGGTACCATGAGTTTGTCTTCTGGAAAGAAGATGCTGCCACCTTGAATATTTCTTTTTTTTTTTTTAATTGAAATATAGTCAGTTTACAACATTGTGTCAATTTCTGGTGTACAGCACAATGCTTCAGTCATACATGAATATACATATATTCATTTTCATATTTTTCACTATAAGCTACTCTAAGATATCGAATATAGTTCCCTGTGCTATACAGTATAAACTTGTTTATCTGTTTTATATATACCAGTCAGTATCTGCAAATCTCGAACTCCCAATTTATCCCTTCCCACCCTTTTCCCCAGTAACCATAATTTGTTTTCTAGGTCTGCGAGTCTGTTTCTGTTTTGTAAATAAGTTCGTTTGTCCTTTTTTTTTTTTTCAGATTCCACATGTGAGTGATATCATATGATATTTTTCTTTTTCTGTCTTCACTTAGAATGACATTCTCCAGGGCCATCCATGTTGCTGCAAGTGTCATTATTTTATTATTTTTTATGGCTGAGTAGTATTCCATTGTATAAATATACCACAACTTCTTTATTCAGTCATCTGTCAATGGACATTTAGTTCACCTTCAACATTGCTTACCAATTATATTGCTTTCACTGAGCTCCTTCACATCTTTGCTCTTTACTATAGTCTTTGCCAGGAGGCTGGGCCTGGAAGAGAGGTGATTGTTAAGCAGGAATTGCCCTTTCTTTCCTTGCCCCATCTAGCAGCGAATCTGATTTCACAACATTCCAACAAAAGCCAAAATACCCATTCCAAAAGGACATCACACTCTTAAGAGAAATAAGTTTAAGACAGAAGGACACAAAGCCTCCTGGGTTTACAGTTCCTTGATTAGAAGTTTCATTTGTACCAGTATTTCAGATTTTTTTACTTGATGCTCTGGAGACTTGCTCTTCAAGACAGTATTCTACAATAAGATTCTGAAGGGCCTCTCCTTTGTTAAATGGGAAAGGGCTATCATGAAAGGGAAACATCCTTATGAGACACAGTATCAGACAAGTCAGTTTTAAGTAAGGCTATGTGAAAAAGTTGAGAATTGTGGGTGGATTAAACTTCCCTGTGCCTTCACCCCTCATGGAATGCACTCCATGTGGCCCCCAGGAATACATAGACTCCACTTTGAAGGCTGCTGGTCTGTACTAGCTGCACCTACTCCTGCACTGCTTCCCCAGTCCAGGGCCATCTGCCTTTTACTTTAACCAGTACTGAGTGGTCTGTAATGAACTTTTTTTATGAAACCAATTGTCTGTGCTCAGACCTCATCCTACTAGATATATTGGAAAATGTGAAACTAATATAATAGTGGAAATCAACCATACTTCAGTTTAAAAAAAGGAAGAAGAAAATGTGAGCACTTCCCCCACCGAGCACCTGCCCCAGCTGAAAAGAAAATGAGAAAGCAATCAGAAAGAAACACAAATTCTCTAGGCACACAGAGTGTGCCAGTGTACCCTGCATAGGCCCCGGACTTTGTCAGCAGTGGCCCGTTGTTTTGCTTCCGCTTCAGCCTGGCAGTGCCTGTCTCTTCTGTTCCAGCTGTTCAGGCTTCACAGACCAGGGCATCCATGGAGCTTTAACTGGGCTCCCAAGTGAAAAAGTAATTGCTCTTCCTTCTCACTGTGTTCTTGGTTCAGACTCTAATTTTGACTTCTCACACCATGCTTTTCCTTATGGTTATTTAAACATTTGTTTCCTGTCTTGCCCTTTCTTTATTGTGTGGCATGTAGTTTTAGATACCCACATTTTGGTTGAATTGAACTTGCCTCTGATACATATTTTCTTCAGAGATGCTATCTTGGATTTAGAAAAACCTAGGGGGTTGTAAATAGCCCTCCTTCATGTTCGCCATTGCTGCTTCATTATTTTGTTTCCTGATTACATTCTGCCAATGATCTATACACATTAAAGATTTTTATTTTTATTCTCTTGCTCTCCCCAGGAATCAAAAAGGTCAGAATCTATGGACATTCATCATAAAAAATTAAAGAATAAGGCTGCTGAAGATAAAAACAGGCCCCAAGAAAGAATACCATTTGACCGTGATAAGGATCTCAAAGTTCATCGATTTGATGAAGCTCAGAAAAAAGCCCTGATAAAGAAATCTAGAGAACTAAACACCAGGTTTTCACATGGCAAAGGCAATATGTTTTTATAAGTAAGTATATTACAAGTATATTTTCATATTGATGAATTTGAGCTTTACTGAATACTCTGCTGTCTATAAATAATTGTGTATAAAAATTCATTTCTCTTTAATAATAAAGTAGGTTATAAACCTGTAGATCTTTTTTTTCCTACGTAAACTATGATTTTTTTGAAAATTCAAACCTGTGGAATAAAAAATGTGGTACACAGGAAAAGTAGCCTTGTCCTCATAATAACTTAACAGGACATTACTATTCAAAATGCTAAAATGAAAGTTTTTTCATTTATGAGAAACAGCAAAGGAAAGTGTGGTTTGAAGCTTGGATAAATATGCATGCTTTATTTAAAAATGAGATTTGCTAGCAGTCTTTTTATGTTAAACAAGATCACAGTTTGAAGATGTTCATTGCTTTTGAAAGGTTCTCTGTAACTTAAGGTTCAGAACCATTACATCACTAATCTGTAGCCCAAATTGACATGGGTTTGTCATGTTGATTACATAAAAGCTACTTCCTAAAAAAAATTACTTCCTAAAATCTTTGTGATTTTTAATTGTATGAAACCTACATCAATATTAAAATGTGACTTTAAGGGAAAATACAGAGTTAGAAATATTTTCCAACTTACTGAATTTTCTTATTCTTACTTCAGGGGGATTTCCCTGTGCAGTGAAGAAGAGTTGAAGAATACTCTTTTTTTCTGTCTGTCCACCTTTATTCCTTGGTTTTGAAGTTCTTAAGATTAGAGGATTACTTTAGTCTTAAAAGCCACACAGACTTACTTTGTTCTGTGCGTCCTTTAAAGTCACATGGAAATGTAAAATCAGCGTGTCTTGTGTGGAATAGAATCTGTGTCTTCGGCTTCTGAGGAAGTGTGGGCTTTTCTTCAAATAACTATTTTGAGCATCCTCCCACCCCCCAACTCCCTAATTTTTGTGGTGTCTCCAAGATCTGATCTGGACCATCCACTGAGTATCCCACAGCTCGGATCCCCTTGTCAGATTTTACAAACCTGCCCAGAGTGAGTGTGTTGGGGTCCTTGCAGAAAATCCATGAATTAGAAATCATTTGCGCTTTCCCTCTAACCCACAGCCAATGAATGTATAAATTTACTTGAAAATAGAGAGTATGGAGGCTTTGTCCGTTTTGTTATCAGTTTGCTTATTTGGGCAATCAGGACTTTTTATTTGTGGTCTGGGATTTTTGGTTTGTTTGTTTTTAAGTCAGAAAGAGGGACCTCTGCATGATTCCATGTGCTAAGGAAAAACTATTTGCATTTTTCCAGCTTTATGAAGTATCTCTATGGAGGCAACCTGAGGAACAAGATATGCCGTTAGCCATTAGCAGTGTGAAGTCTAAGACTCAGTCTCTCAATCTCAGCCAAAGCTTTCTAAGTCTTTAAACTGCTCTGGGATGATCTGGCTTTGCCCATTTATCTTTAACAAATTTTAGCTAATTGATTGGGAACAGATCTTTTATATCTATCATGAATAGCTTTTTAGAAAAATCAAACTCATAATCCTTGAATACAAAAATGGAAATGGAAACTATAATCAAAACCACCCTGATGGATTATTATAAGTTTTTGATGCTTTAAGCACTGCCTCTTAAGATGTTAAACAGAAAATTCTGAATTCTGACTAGTTAAAGCCTAAATCCAAATTCTGTAAGTTATATTTTCTTACTAATTAATTCTGATTGATCTGCTAGTTCTGTGTTCTAATTTTGACGAAACACACAATTTTAATGGGAAAAGATTCTGAGTTCTAGTTCATTTAGACTTTATGAAAATTGAGTAAACTTTTCAGTCAAGTTATGGGACAGCTTTTTCTCCTGATCATAGAAGGACAATGATAATTTCCATAACAGTAATCTGCTCAAGGAGTGTTGCTATTAAAAAAATGAATTCTTCTCCTGAGCAAATTGAAAGAGCTTCTAGTGCAAGCAGAATTGAACAGAGCTACCTTCTGACTAAAGATGTCATTTTTAGTGAGTGATATTGTCCAAACACAAAACTTTGTACCAGAGCATCTATTACTTTCATTAATTTTGTTATAATTTTTTTCCCTGATGAAAGGAAGAAATGTTTTCTAGTCCCTCATCCTTATATACATTCCTAACATGTTTTTAGGGGGGAGTTTTGCTAGTTTCTAAAGTAAAAATGTCATCTTTGGATGCTTATTTTTGCTTTGCTTTTCTCATCTTGAGGGGAAAATAAGGATGTGTCTATAAAGGATATTTACCATTTCTTCCCTCACCCTTGGAATATCTGTGACCTCAGCAAAAGCAAGAAAAGTCTCTTCTGCCTAACACTTTCCATGAGTGCTACCTTACTGGTACCTCAGGTCTAGTGCTCTTTCATACACCCCGAGGGCAGTTTTAACAAAATATGAGACCAGGCCAGAGGTTTTTTGCCCCGTGGAGAGACTAAACCCAATATAACAACATTGACAATGAAGAACAGAGTAGCTCTTTGCTCAGAATGGGAAGCTGGTCTTCATTTCGTCCCCTCCCCTCGTCCAAAGCTGTGAAAGGCCAGGCTAAATCAAGTCTCCATCTGGCAGAAAATTGGGATTGTTGACATTATCTACTAGGAACTTTTTAATTTCCTATACTTCTTGGCCAAATTTTATAGAACTGTGACCTCTTGAAACTTAAAAATGAAGAAGAAAAAAGAACAACATTTGCCTCAAAAAATTGAGCTGATACTTTCACATTCTTTGCTGTTTGGTGAAGGTGACATTTAAGTTCATTGTACCTGAAATTATATGATTTTCAACTCTCTAAATTGTCTCAGATAGACTTTGATGCTTTGAATAATAACCACAATACTGGTACATAAATGGCTTTAGCAAGTGGGGGAATTGGGAGGGGAGACAAAAGGTGAGAGAAGGTAGCTACACCCGTAATAAGACTGTATCATCAGATAAATTTTTTTGTATTGGGAAGAATATCATAAATTAAGCCCTGTGCTAAAAAAGAAAAGAAAAGCTACGGTTTTACTAAGAGTTTTTTTTAATCTTGTTCAGATGTAGCAGCTACTTGACAATTTATCAGTTGAATATTTAATGGTTCTTGGAATTAGTGATTTTTTTTTGGAAGTAATGTTGAGATTTACATCACACTGAGGCCTACGTGCTTCAGAATAGATGAACAGTTATTTGCTCCCAAAACATCATGACACTTTTTGTTCCTTATATAAGATGGATAATGTTAACATTATTACTCAGAAATGTATGATCATGGGAGAGAGTTTTTAGACTGTTTACAAGAGCCCTTATCACTTCTCTTCACTTTTTCCATGGCAATGATAGGTATTGTTTGGGGAAAAAAAAATTCTTGGTTGGTTATATACTTAAGAGGTAGGTGCATGTAACCCATGTAACATCAATACCAAGTCTCCTGTTTCATAATATTAATTTTTCTACTTTGGCTTTTCATGCCATCATGTGATTTTAGCCTACAGTTAACGAAAGGTCATGCATTTCCTATTATAGGAGAGGTATATTTTTTGCAGCTTAAAAAATTAACTGTGACTATAATATGTACAAAATTTTAAAGCTATACACTGCCCCTTTCAATCTTTTCATTTCAAACTGTACAATTAAAAGACTGTTTTTAGAAAAGAAGAATTCCTGAGGTGTACTTCTTTTATGTATAAATAAAATGGCATCTCTATCTGAGGAAGTTGTGGTCTTTTATTTCTCTTTTGTTTATTGTAACATTGTTAACTGATCTGAAGCAGACAATGCTTGTAAAGAGAATAGCCTGTAAAGATTTGTTCTAACCAATCAGATCATGGTGGGCTATCATGGAAAAAAAGTCTTGCACCCCAGACCACTTGTGAGATTTTTATTATCCCAGTATAACTACAAATATTAACTGTTTAGAAACACAAGACAAATTGGAGATCCTCTTAAGAGCACCGTGGCACAAGAGGGGCTGGCACTCGGTTTCTCACCAAGATTCCATTGTTTTGCATGTCACGGGGTTACAGGACAGGTGGTGGGTTTTTTCCTGGATTGGTTGTTTATGAGGTTTTGTATTCTTTTGGTTTTTCGTCTTTTTCTACTTCTATTCTTTCAGAAAGCATGTATTCTTTTATAATTTCAGGGGGAAATTAACCTCTTTTATTTTCTTAAGTCCTGATTTTGTATTATATAGGGTCAGAGTTAGAACCTGAACTACTAGAGAGACAGGACTGCGGATTCCTCTCTTCCTTAACTGGGAAAGTGACTGAAAGAGATATTTTGCAGTACAAAAGCTAAGCATTGAAATGATAGCAATCTAGACATATAGGGTCAAGGAAAGAGAGCCTTTGAGTTTTCAGATCATTTCCCTGTAAAATTATTTCTTGAGGAAAGAAGGTGTTTGTTCATTCAGTAAACATTTATTAAACACAGGTGTGTCCTCGGTGCTGTGAACACGGTGCTGAGAACACAGTGGTGAACCGGGCATTCGTATCCCTTCTCCTTGAGAGGAGTTCTGTGCTAGTCACTACAGAGTGTCCACAGGTGAGTAACACAGATTCCCTGCCTCATGGTTTTATATGAGTGGGAGAGCAGAAGATGTCAGTAAAAAGGGTCAAATAAGAGCACAACACGATGACTATAGCCAAGACTGCTGTACAAGATGTATAGGGACGTCAAGAGAGTAAATCCTAAGAGTTCTTATCATAAGGAGAAATTTTTTTTTTCATTTTTTTCCTTTTTATTGTATCTATGTGAGAAAATGATTGTTAGCTGAACCTGTGGCGGTAATCATTTCACAATCTCTGTAAATCAAACCATCCTGCCGTAAACTCATGCAGTGATAGATGTCAACTGCTTCTCAATAAAAGTGGGGGAACAATTCACAAATTGTAGTGGGTGCTCTAAAGAGAGCAGAATCACGGGACACCGTGACAGGTGGTTGAGGATGGGAAGCCTAGTTAAATAAAGTGATAAGAAAAGTCTCTCTGAAGAGATGTTATTTAAGGAGAAGCCTGAAAAAAGTGAAAAAAGCTAGCAGTTTGAAAAATGACTGACCATCTATGCGAAGGCCCTGAAGAATCACACCAGTGTGGGTGGTGTACAGTGAGATATGCTCGGGGTTGATCCCTGTATTAGTGGATACTAGGGAGCCCTTGTAACTGCATTTAACCCAGTTTTAGAAGGTGAAAGGAGCCTCCCAGAGGCGCGTGGCTCCTAGTCAAGTCATAAACATCACATAGGAGTTGGCCTGATGGAGCCTAATACCAAAGGTCTACCTTACTGGTCTTCCAGAATTTCCTACTCATATCTGAATTCATGGCTTAGGCCCTTGCTCTGAAAATCTGTGTGTAACCCCACTAAGAACAGTCATCAGTTATCAGAATACTAGTACATTGAACTTCTGCCTTACTTGATCATCAAAACTGCAATTAGTTAAGTAGAACTGTTTGGGTTTTTTTATTTTTTGGTTTTTTTTTTCGGAATTTGTGATGAATTACTGTTCATTTCCTCCTCTTAGGCCTAATTATTGAGGATTACATGCATTCTTTTTAAGAGCCAAATAGCATCAGATGAATTCAACAGATACTAATTGATATCAATTAATCTTTAGAATTCCAGGACATGGCAGAACTTTTTCATTTGGGGACTGGAGAATGCAGAACTATTTCTTAATGTGTAATTCTCAAACCACTCCATTAGAATCACCTGGGGAGCTTGCAGAACTACAGACGCCCAAAACCACCTCTAGTGGATGGAAATCTTTGAAGTTAGAATCAGGACATCAGCATTTTTAACAATTATTCCCAGTGATTACTTCTGTCTCAAGTTTGAGAATCACTGCACTCATGTTCCTATAAGCATTCCCCTCTCCCTTGTTACACATTCCGCTTTCCTATATTAAATATTCTTAAATGCATAGTCATTTTATGCCACATGGGTATAATCACTAGCACCGACAGTACTTGCATTGTGAGGAGTGGATTACTTTCCACTGAGTGAATTGATGCCTTAAAGTTTCTACTCTTCAAACGTTTTTGCCAGCCAGCTGCTACAGGGCTCAAGATGATGCTGTCAATAGTAATTCAGTTTCATTTAGACTTCTCCATTTTAAAAGGTGCCTAAGAGAAGGCAAAATCCCTGGGAGGAATAGTTAGGCTCTAAGATCCTTGTCCCTGGCTTATCGGGGCCCCATGAGATCACTGAAGGCCCTGGAAATACAGAACATTGAACAGGTGAGGGGCTCGGTGGGATGCTAAAGATGAACTCCAGGGTTGGTCTCAGCTTCTGACTATTCTCTGGGGGTGATTAACCAGCTAATGGTACTGAAGTACTTTGAGGTCTTAGGTAACTCTGCTTTAGCAGCTAAGGTATTATTTTAACTAAAGAACTTTCAAAAGCTAGCAAGTTTACTTTTAGATACCAGTTTCTGCATTTGCTAACATAGCTATAGATAAAAGAAGAAGGCAAAAAGCAAGGGTACATACAATGATTGTATTAATGAAGACTGAAAAATGTCAAGGACCTATGCTAGAATGTTGAAAAGCATTTCAAAGCTCACTTTCAAGTCTGTCTGATCACCGCCTTTCCACTTTGCAGCCCTTTAGAGAACTTCCTCTTGGTTTCCTTGGGATGGGGTAATGTCAGCTGAGCAGGCCTTGTGATAAGGTATGTGGTCCTGAAGTTTTCTCATACAGTCAGTGATCTGAGATGAAAATAAACTTGCTCCTTGTATCACTGGGCATGAAAGATGAAATGGAATTGCCTAAGTGTATAACTTATGACAGTTTCTTTTTGGGTAATGGCTAAAAGCAACACATTTTGCTCACTTAAGAAAACATAATACTATATAATACCTCGTCCACACTACACACATAAAGAAAGCAATTTATTAACCTAAGGTTGCTACCTTTGACAATAAATACAGACATAGTTAATTTGACATTGGCCACAAAATGAACTAGAAATTATGACCATTCTTCAGTCATCATTTTAACTGGATATTTTATGCTCTTTTAAATTAGCTTAATTTTCCTTATCAGCTTGTACACTGGCTTATAAAATTGTCATACTTGGAAACGGAGACTCTTAGAGTTAAAAATGTTTGCCAGTCAAACTGGTTTGTCAATAAAGACTAGAACTCACCCTATTAATTTATAAGATGTTAGTTGATACTGTGATACTTCTAAGAAAATAACATGAAAAGATGGATTCAGAGTATTTTCTTTTACCAGCTAATCATAAAGAGCTTTTTAAAAATCATATTTATAGTCCTTCTAGTAGGTCCCAAAAGGACTGCATCCTTACTTCCGCATTTACCAGCACTGACTAATACCTAGGTTTAGAGGGATGAGAGAACAAACATGATGTGGACCAATTTAGACAACAAAAACCTCAAGGTCAGTATTTTTGAAACTTTGATGTTCATCAGAATCCTCTGGGAGCTTATTAAAAACTAGAGATGCCCTAGCCTCATTATCAGACATTTTTTGAGTCTATAGGTTTTCACTTGGGTTCAGGCATCTATTTCTGGTAAGATCCCCAGGTAATTCTAAGACATTCCGAAGTATAAGAACCAAACTTGGTTTGGTCCAAATATGGCATATTAAGATTTCTAGAACAACAACAACAAAATGCTGTCATGCTGTGGTCACTGAGCCTCTTGATTCAAAGGATAGAAGGCAAAACTCATTTCCTAGCCTCCCTTGCTGCTAGAGCACAAGTATGTCATCTGGGTTCTGCCAATAGATGTACCCACATAGGATGGGGATTCCAAGGGGAGAAAAATGGAGAAGCAGACCTTCCCAGAATCATGGTGGTGGAGGTGGCCGAATTTTCAACAGCAACGAGGTGGCACTTCTGGTACTCAGACCCAAGCATCACTAGTGTGAACCACCATGTTGGGACCTGTGATGTGGGATGGAGTGGTGGTGACACTGGAACATCACAGAACATATCCCTGGTTATATAGCTTCTGGACCTGCTTAAACTGGCCAGCTATATTATTTTGTTTGCAACTAAGAGCCCTGAGTAACATAAGGGAGTTATACTATGCTAGTTAAGAGCATAAACTTTGAAAACAGCAGCCTAGAATAAAATCTTGGCCCAGCCACTAGCTGTGTAAACTTAAGAGAGTTTCGTAACCTAGCTCAGCTATAATTTGTCTTAAAATGGGAGGCAATGATAAACTTC